GGAAAGAGGTATCTCAGAAACCACAAAATCAAATTCTTGATTTTTGAGAGTTAACTAAGCATATGTATAATTTTGGTTTGTTTTGTTCCTGTAGTGATTCCACTGAATGAAGAAGTTCTGGTAACATTAGGAAAAGAAGAGGTAAGTTACTGAATTTATAGTAATCCAAAATAACATAACTAGAAGTGTTCTGGATAAGCTCATGCCATAACGAGTAAGATGAAACCACTTTAAAATTGTATTAATTATGTTTTATTGAACAGGATATTTTAGATGATTTGAATTAAATATGTAAACCTTACTCTTGTACTTAATTTTTAGTTGATTAAACTCTTCATAATAAAAGCGAAAAGGTTAAACATAGGTAAATGATCTTACATGTATATCTGTCCCCAAAACTTAACATAAATGTCGATAAAGATTTTTTTAAAGTGTCAGTTTATTAGATCAAAGTATAGGAGAGAAGATAGAGGCAAAGAAGAATTTTAAACAAGGTTGTAGAGCATGGAAATAGATAAGTATCTGTGTTCCAAGAGACAGAAGTAAAGATAACAAGAGAGATTATCTGCCCTACAGAACTGAAGAGAAAGGCTTTGAATTTGAAGGAACCTTGTACTTCAAAATTCAGGGTTCAAGTGTGGAGCTAAAAACAAGGAGATTTTTTAAAAGTAAGAACAGACTACTAGACCTTCTCCCTCTCTCTTTTGCAATCAAGAGGCTAACTTTTACCCACACACCTAAAAACTGGAGGTATATGGAGTGGAGACATTAAACTATTGAGGCTTTGGACTCAGCACACCAAGTTGGGTGTTTAGTAGGGGTGGTGTGAGGTCAAAAGTCAAAGTTCAAGTTAACATTTTTATACTGTGTCGTGAAGTACCAGCTTCTTCCCTTGATATATCTCCAGGGGTCCTACAGTATGGTATAAAAGTAGCTTCAGACTGGAGCTAAAATAATCTCTGGAAAATCTAAATGGCCTGAGAAAAAAGGTCTGTAAGTATTAATATATGGGGGTTCCCAGTGAAAAGCAGGATGGCCATCCATCAAAAAGCCATTTATAAACAAAGTTTGTTTTTGAGCTTTAAATGTGAATACCAACTTTTATTCAACATAGTGTTGGAGGTCCTAGCCACAGCCATCAGACAAGAAAAAGAAATAGAAGGAATCCAAATTAGAAAGGAAGAACTAACACTGTCACTGTTTACAGATGACATGATCCTATACATAGAAAATCCTAAAGACACTACCAGAAAACTACTAGCACTCATCAATGAATTTGGTTAAGTTTTAGGATACAAAATTAATATACAGAAATATGTTGCATTTCTATACAATAACAATGAACTATCAGAAAGAGAAATTAAGGAAACAGCTCCATTTACCATTGCATCAAAAAGAATAAGGTAACCTAGGAATAAAGCCACCTAAGGAGGTAAAAGACCTGTAATCAGAAAACTGTAAAACACTGATGAAAGTAATTGAAGGTGGCACAAACAGATGAAAAGATGTACCATGTTCTTAGATTGGAAGAATTAATATTGTTAAAATGACCATAATCTCCCAAGGCAATCTACAGATTCAGTGCAATCCCTATCAAAATACCAATGGCATTTTTCACAGAACTAGAACAAAAAAATCTTAAAATTTGTATGGAAACACAAAAGACCCCCAATAGCCAAAGCAATTTTGAGAAAGAATGGAGCTGGAGGAATCATACTCCCTGACTTCAGACTATGCAGCAAAGCTACAGTAATCAGAACAGTCTGGTCCTGGCACAAAAACAGACACATAGTTCAATAGAACAGAATAGAGAGCCCAGAAATAAACCCACACACTTACGGTCAATTAATCTACAACAAAGGAGGCAAGAATTTACAATGGAGAAAAGACAGTCTCTTCAATAAGTGATGCTGGGAAAACTGGACAGCTACATGTAAAAGAAGGAAATTAGAACATTCGCTAACACCATATACAAAAACTAAAGACGGATTAAAGACATAAGTGTAAGACCAGAAACCATAAATTCCCTAGGAGAAAACTTAGGCAGAACACTCTTTGACATAAATCATAGCAATATGTTTTTAGATTTGTCTCCTCAAACAAAGGAAGTAAAACAAAAATATACAAATGGGACCTTATTAAACTTAAAATCTTTTGCCCAGCAAAGGAACCATCAACAAAATGAAAAGACAACGTACTGAATGGGAGAAAACATTTGCAAATGCTATGACTGATAAGGGGTTATTATTCCAACATATATAAATGACTCGCAGCTCAGCATCAAAAAAACAAACAAGCTGGGACTTCCCTGGCAGTCCAGTGGTTAAGACTCCATGCTTCCACTGCAGGGGGCATGCGTTCAATCTTTCGTTAAGGAACTAAGATCCTGCATGCCATGTGGTGTGGCCCCCACAAAGCAGAACAAAACAAAAAAAACAAGCCAATTAAAAACTGGGCAGAAGTCCTGAATAGACATTTTTCCAAAGGGGACATTCAGATGACCAATAGGCACATGAAAAGATTCTCAGTATCGCTAATCATCAGGGAAATGCAAGTCAAAACCACAGTGAGGTAACACCTCACACCTGTCAGAATGACTATTGTCAAAAAGAACACAAATAAGTGTTGGTGAGGATGCGGAGAAAAGGGAACCCTCATATACTGTTGGGAATGTAAATTGGTGCAGCCTCTGTGGAAAACAGTATGGAGTTTTCTCCAAAAACTAAAAATAGAACTGCCATATTACCCATCAGTCCCTCTGCTAGGTATATATCCAAAAAAAAAAAAAAAAACACTAATTCAAAAAGATACATGCACCTCATTGTTCATAGCAGCATTATTTACAGTTGCCAAGATATGGAAGCAACCTAAGTGTCCATCAACAGATGAATGGATAAAGAAGATGTGGTGTATATATGTAATGGAATACTACTGAAGCATTAAAAAAATGCAGTTTTGCTGTTTACAGCCTCATGGATGAACTTGAAGAGCATTATGCTAAGTGAAAGAAATCAGGCAGAGAAAGACAAATACTGTATGATATCACTTATATGTGGAATCTAAAAAAAATACAACAAACTAGCGAATATCACAAAAAAGCAGACTCACAGATACGGAGAACAAACTAGTGGTTACCAGTGGGGAGAGGGCAGCGGGGAGGGGCAAGATAGGGGTAGGGAATTAAGAGATACAAACTATTAGGTATAAAATAATCTACAAGGTTATATTATACAACAGAGGGAATATAGTCAATATTTTATAATAACTATAAATGAAGTATAACCTTTAAAAATAAAACTAAGTAAAAAATACAAAAAACTAGTGAATATAACAAAAAAGAAACAGACTCCGAGATATAGTCAACAAACTAGCAGTTATCAGTGGGGAGAGGGAAAGGGGAAGGGCAGTATAGGGGTAGGGGATTATGAGGTACAAACTGTTATGTATAAAATAAGCTATAAGGGGACTTCCCTGGCAGTCCTGTGGTTAAGACTCTGCACTTCCACTGCAGAGGGACGTGGGTTCGATCCCTGATTGGGGAACTAGGATGCTGCATGCAGTGCAATGCGGTGGGGGGCAGTGGGGGGGAAGCTATAAGGATATATTGTACAACATAGGGAATGTAGCCAATATTTTATAATAATTATAAATAGAATATAATCTTTAAAAATTGTGAATCACTGTATTTTACACCTGTAACATACGGTATTCTATGTCATCTATACTTCATTTAAAAGAAAATGTTGAAAGACTCTAGGTCCATCCACCTCATTACAAATAGCTCAATTTCATTTCTTTTTATGGCTGAGTAATATTCCATTGTATAACATGTGCCATATCTTCTTTATCCATTCATCCGATGATGGACACTTAGGTTGTTTCCATCTCTGGGCTATTGTAAATAGAGCTGCAGTGAACATTTTGGTACATGACTCTTTTTGAATTATGGTTTTCTCAGGGTATATGCCCAGTAGTGGGATTGCTGGGTCATATGGTAATTCTATTTGTAGTTTTTTAAGGAACCTCCATACTGTTCTCCATAGTGGCTGTACCAATTCACATTCCCACCAGCAGTGCAAGAGTGTTCCCTTTTCTCCACACCCTCTCCAGCATTTATTGTTTCTAGATTTTTTGATGATGGCCATTCTGACTGGTGTGAGATGATATCTCATTGTAGTTTTGATTTGCATTTCTCTAATGATTAATGATGTTGAGCATTCTTTCATGTGTTTGTTGGCAGTCTGTATATCTTCTTTGGAGAAATGTCTGTTTAGGTCTTCTGCCCATTTTTGGATTGCGTTGTTTGTTTTTTTGTTATTGAGCTGCATGAGCTGCTTATAAATTTTGGAGATTAATCCTTTGTCAGTTGCTTCATTTGCAAATATTTTCTCCCATTCTGAGGGTTGTCTTTTGGTCTTGTTTATGGTTTCCTTTGCTATGCAAAAGCTTTTAAGTTTCATTAGGTCCCATTTGTTTATTTTTGTTTTTATTTCCATGTCTCTAGGAGGTGGGTCAAAAAGGATCTTGCTGTGATTTATGTCATAGAGTGTTCTGCTGGTGTTTTCCTCTAAGAGTTTGATAGTTTCTGGCCTTAGGTTTAGGTCTTTAATGCATTTTGAGCTTATTTTTGTGTATGGTGTTAGGGAGTGATCTAATCTCATACTTTTACATGAACCTGTCCAATTTTCCCAGCACCACTTATTGAAGAGACTGTCCTTTCTGAAGTAAGTCAGAAAGAGAAAGACAGATACCGTATGCTAACACATATATATGGAATTTAAGAAGAAAAAAAAATGTCATGAAGAACCTAGGGGTAAGACAGGAATAAAGACACAGACCTACTACAGCATGGATTTGAGGATATGGGGAGGGGGAAGGGTAAGCTGTGGCAAAGTGAGAGAGTGGCATGGACATATATACACTACCAAACGTAAAATAGATAGCTAGTGGGAAGCAGCCTCATAGCACAGGGAGATCAGCTCGGTGCTTTGTGACCACCTAGAGGAGTGGGATAGGGAGGGTGGGAGGGAGGGAGACGCAAGAGGGAAGAGATGTGGGAACATATGTATATGTATAACTGATTCATTTTGTTATAAAGCAGAAACTAACACACCATTGTAAAGCAATTATACTCCAATAAAGATGTTAAAAAAAATGAACTTTAAAAAAATAAAAATAAATGATTTTGGACTTACAAAAAAAAAAAAAAGAAAAAAGAAAATGTTGAATGGCCAGCCTATGATCATCGACATTTGTGAAATGCCTCCATATGGAAAGGCGGAAACCCAAAACAATTTACGAAGATGAATCTTAAGAAAATAGAGGCAATTCAGGGAACAAAGAGAATTTAATAAAATAATATCTTCCTAATTTGATTAACTCTACATTATCAAGTTTTATTTTAAGGCAGCAGTCCCCAACCTTTTTGGCACCCGGGACCAGTTTCGTGGAAGACAGTTTTTCCACAGACCAGGGTTGGGGGTGGGATGGTAATGTGAGCATTGGGGAGCAATGGAGAGTGGCAGTGAAGGTAGCTTCACTTGTTCACCCACCGCTCACCTCCTGCTGTAGCACAAATTGTTGAAAAAACTATCTTTTTCTTTTGAATTTCCTTTGCATATGTGTTGATAATTAATTGATCATGTACATGTGGATCTATTTCTAGACTCTCCATTTGTTCTCCATCCTATGTGGTGGATGTATCTTTTCCTTTGTTCTGTATTTCTGTCTTTAGGCCAATACTGTGTTGGTTTGTTTACTGAAGCTTTGTAATGTCTTGAAATTAAGTAGTATGAGTTCTCTAACTTTGTTTTTTGCCAAAATTGTTTCATATTTTCATATAAATTAGAGTTGGCTTGTCATTCTATCCCATAAAGAAGCTTACTGGAATTTTGACTGAGATTGCCCTGAATCTCTAGTTCAAATTGAGGAGAAGAGACATATTGAGTCTCAGTCCAGATCCATGAGCACTATATGGTCTCTGCATTTATTTAGGCCTCTGTTTATTTGTTATTTACAAAATTTATCTCACCAATATTTTGTAATTCACTATATCAACAGACTAATAAAGAAAAGCATTTTATCATTTCAATAAATTCAGAAAGAATAAGTGACAAAATTCCATATTAATTCATGATTCAGAAAAAGACTTTATAAATTGTGATAGAAGTGTGCAGGTCTTGAGGGACTTCCCTGTCAGTCCAGTGGTTAAGACTCTGCACTTCCACTGCAGGGGGCACAGGTTCCATCCCTGGTCGGGGAACTAAGATCCTGTGTGCCGCAAGGTGTGCACAAAAAACAAAGAAAAAAGAAAAAAGATGTGTGCAGGTCTTGTATATGTTTGTCAGATTCATCCCTTTAGTATTTCATATTTTTGGTGCTATCAAAATGGTATTCTTTTTTAAAATTTCAATTTCCAATTATTTATTGCTGGTACATTCAAATACAATTAATATTTATATGTCAATCTTGTATCTAGTGAGCCTGATAAACTCCTTTATTCTAGTAGCTTTTTTGTAGATTATGTAGAATTTTCTTTTCTTTTATATTTAATTAATTAATGTATTTATTAATTTTTTAATTTATTTGGCTGCATGGGGTCTTTAGTTGTGGCAGGCAAACTCTTAGTTGTGGCATACATGTGGGATCTAGACCAGGGATAGAATCCGGGACCCATGCATTGGGAGCACAGAGACTTCACCACGGGAATACCAGGGAAGTCCCCTGTAAGATCTTCTACATAGCTAGTCATGTCATCTGAGAACAAAGGCAGTTTTACTTCTTTCTTTCCATCTGGATGCTTTTTATCTCTTTTTCTTGGCTTATTGTACTGTCCTAGAATATTTAGTAATGTATTGAATAAAAGTGGGGAGAATGAACATTTTTGCCTTGTTCCTGATCTTGGTGGATAGCATTCACTCTTTGACCATTAAGTGTGATGTTAGCAGTAGGGTTTTCATAGATGCCATTAATAAAGTTGAGAAAATTACCTTTTATTAGAATTTATGAAGAATTTCTCAAATCATGAATTAATATTGAATTTTGTCACTTATTTCTAAATTCACTGATTTCAACTATTAACTTGATTCCTAAGATAAACCCCACATTGCTCTAATGTATTAATCTTTTTTATTTATTGATGGATTTAATTTGCTAAAATTTTATTAAGATTTTTGTGTCTATGTTTTCGAGAGATATTGGTCTGTGGTTTTCTTTTTTGGTGACATCTTTTTCAGGCTTTTGTATCAGGGTAATACTAAGCTCATAGTATGATTTCAGAAGTATTCTCTCTTCAAAAGAGCTTGTATAGAGTCAGTATTATTTATTCCTTAAATGTTTCTTAGAATTTATAGGTGAAGTCGTCTGAGGTTAGAAATATTTTGGTGGGAAAATGTTAAACTAAATATTCAATTTCTTTATGGCTAGTCCGGTTATCTTTCTCTGAATGAACCTTGGTAGTTTGTGACTTTGAAAGAGTTTGTCTCATCTAGTCTGTCAAATTTATTGACAGAAAATTGTTCATAGCATTACCCCATTACTATTTTAATGTTTGTAGCAACACCCCCTCTCTTATTCCTGATGTTGGTAATTTGTGTTCTTTTTTTCTCCTTTAATTAGTCTGGGTAATTTTATTGATCTTCTCAAAGAATTAGCTTTGGGTTTCATTGATTTTTCCCTATTTTTCTTTTTGTTTTTCTATTTCATTGATTTAAAACTTTTACCATTATTTTTTCTTCAGCTTACCTTTGGTTTTATTTGCTCTTTTTCTAGTTTCTTGTGGTGGAAGCTGAGGTCATTAATTTGAGAGCTTTCTTTTTTCTAATACAGGCTTTTAGTGGTGTAAATTTTTATCTGAGTACTTCTTTTGCTTTATTCCAGAAAATTTAACCTTTTCATTTTCAGACAGTCATAGTAATTTCTTATTTTCCTGCTGGTTGGATCCTTGGCCCATGGATTATTTAGAAGTATGTTTTTAGTATCCAAATATTTGCACATTTTTCCAGGTACCTTTCTATGATTGATTTTTTTTTTGAACTTTTTAAAAGTTTTATTGGTACAGTTATTATAGTGAATTGCAATTTATATACTGAACTATTTGTTTTTCTTTTTTTTTAAGTATGGGCTCTGACACTTTTAATTTGTGAAACCTCAGGCAAATCACCTAGCTCTTTTTTTTTTTCATACATCTTTATTGGAGTATAATTGCTTCACAATGTTGTATTTGTTAGTTTCTGCCTTACAACAAAATGAGTCAGCTGTATGCACACACATATCCCCATATTCCCTCCCTCTTGAGCCTCCCTTCCACCCTCTCTATCCCGCCCCTCTAGGTGGTCAAAGAGCACCAAGCTGATCTCCCCGTGCTATGCAGCAGCTTCCCACCAGCCATCCATTTTACATTTGGTAGTGTATGTGTGTCAATGATACTCTCTCGCTACATCCCAGCCCCCCCTTCCCCTCTGTGTCCTCAAGTTCATTCTCAATGTCTGCATCTTTATTCCTGCCCTACCACTAGGTTCATCATTTTTCTAGATTCTATATATATGCGTTAGCATATGGTATTAGTTTTTCTCTTTCTGACTTACTTCACTCTGTGTGACAGACTCTAGGTGCATCCACCTCACTACAAATAACTTGATTATTAATTTAATTTAACTCCATTATTGGATCATATTTAATGTAATATCATTATGGTTGCATTAAAATGTACATATTTGATTTTTCTTTCGTATTTGTCCTACGTTTTCTCTGTTCCTATTCTCCTCTCTTCCCACTTTCTTGGATTAATTGTGTATTTTTCAAAATAAATGCATTTTATTAACATTATTAGCTTATTAGGTATATCTTTTCATTTTTTTTTTCATGGTTGCTCTAGGGTTTATAATATACAATTTTATATTATTACAGATTTAGATTTATAAGAAGCTAATGGAAACCCTTAATATCAGGAGAATGGAACACTAGCTAATATGTTCTAGAAACAAAAGGATACCAGAAAAAGTTTAGCTTATTGTAATCCCCTATATCCACACAGTCTTCTTATATGTTCCTCAGATACCTCATACTTCTGCCTCAGGGCCTTTGTACTTAAAATTCCCTTTGCCTAGAACATTCTTTTGCTAGATGGTGACATGACTTATCTTTTGCTGTCTTTCTCTGTTGCTAAACTGTTAGTTAACCTGATCAGAAAGGTCTTTCCATATCATACTACCTACCTAAAGGAGCCATCCCTGCTCCTCATTTCTATACTCTCGTTTTGACCTATTTTTACTTTATGGTATTTATCCCTCTCTAGAGTTACAAGTGTGTTCCTTTGTTTGGATTCGCCTCTTTGTTCTGTTCATCTTTGCATCCCTGACTCCTTCATCAATGCCTGGTGGTCAACAACTGATCAATAAATATTTGTTGAATGAATGATATTCATTTGTGTCTGTTTTGTATAGTCTCCTTAGAAAAGAGACCTAATCTGCCTGGTTACTGAAAATTCACCATTAAATTGCCTTTCAGTATGAAATTAAAAATTATTGCTCAAAACCCCTTAGATGTTTTAATTTAACAATGAAATATTACAAAGAACTTAGTACCTACTGTATAATTTCCCTTTCAAAGATTTTTTGCTAGGCTTTTTTTTGCTGTTGATTTCTGAATATATATCCTACCTAGTATGTAAATTTCACTCTCATTCAGAAATATCACTATTTACAGGAGTAAATACTAAGCAATTAATTTTAATTATTTTGTTCTAGTTCCAGAAATTGAGACATGATCTTGAATTGGCACTATCTACTATTCAGTCAAAGAATGAAAAGTTAAAGGAAGACTTAGAAAGGTATATTTATATTATAATTACTATTAATCATTGATATATATTGAATTGGCATTAATGTTTTATTTGAATACTGTTTTGTTTTTCCATGTTTAAAGGGAGCAAAAATGGTTGGATGAACAGCAACAGATATTGGAATCTCTTAATGTACTACACAATGATTTGAAACAGCAGGTTGTGACATTTTCTGAATCAAGGTATTGATTTTGTGTTCTAGGTTTTCATAATAGGAAAAATGATTTCCTTTTTTATGTTACATGAAATACATAGATGAAAGAAGGTAAATTTTACCAGAAATTGTGAGTCTTACCCTGATTTTTGCCAATTGTTAAGTTACCTAATCTTCTATGAATAATTTGACTTTTAGTTTTCCTACATGTTAAATAGAGACTATTTATCTCATAAAGCTAGTTATTTTGAGCAATGAAGTTTGAACAAAGTTTTTGATTAATTTTATGAGTAACCAGTTATATATACTTAAGTATTTTATCAGCAAATTAATTCTCTTAAAAAAAATCTTTTAGAATCTTTAATGAGCTGAAAACGAAAATGCGTGATATAAAAGAATATAAGGAGAAACTCTTGGTTACCTTGGGTGAGTTTCTAGAAGACCATTTTCCTCTGCCTGATAGAAATGTTAAAAAGAAAAAGGTAAGTTTTAGAGAAGACATTCATGTAGATACTCACATAAGAAATTGTTTTAGATAGGTTCAAAGGTAAATTTTCTGATAAATTTTTATGTTAAATATACACTTCAAAGACATACACAAATAGGTACATGCACAGAAATATTCCATCATCACATTATAATAATGAAAAATTAGAAGCAACCTAGTTATGTAATAAGATTAAATACATTTTTTTACATTGTATTCATATTGATGGAAAAATGCAGCTTTTAAAAATAATGTATTGAACACTATCAAAGGAGTTTATGAAATCTCACAAATTATTGATTGTTAGAAGATAAAACACAGATGATTAAATTGTGTGAGTCTAATTTGTATCAAAGAATGTAATAGTACTTATGCCTGGGGCTAAGATTGTAGGTAAGATTTGTTTTTGTTTTCGTTTCCATTGTTTTTCAAATTTTCTATGATAAACATATGTAACTTTTAAAATCAGAAGATACCTGTAGTTAAGGTAAGTTATTGACTATTTTAATAACAGTTATGATGGAATAAACCTTTTTCACACAAGCAAATATTTCATTGAGTGACAGAAGGTTGGGAACAAGCACTTTAATTCCTTTTTAGAAAATAGTATAGGTATAAATAAATAGAACTTGTGGAAGTGGAATAGGCATTGAAACTGGGACCAGAACAATCTTTCTAAAAGTATACATATTTAACAATTTATTTAATCATGTATTTTAAAATATACATATTTAAATCATTTTTCAACATAAAACTTTTGACACCTCCCTCTGGGATGAAGTCTATAAACTCCTTAGAGGAATGAATTTATATTCTGGACTTTGTCTATCTCTTTAGCCTCTTTTTCAGCCATTCTTTATCCATCTCTTGCATGAGTCCATTCAACCATAGTACTACAGTTCCAGCAGATATGCAATGACCTGTCACTTTTTTGTGCCTTACACATTCTATTCCCTCTGGTTACAAAACAATTCCTATCTGATGAAAATAGTAAATTCTTTCTTAAAGCAACTCAAACATCATCTTTTGTGTGATGCATTGAATGAAGTTTTGGTGTCATTTTATTAGCATTTTATTACATGATTTTGTAGTAATCATTTATTTCTCTTTCTCTGTTGACCCACCACGCTCTGTGAGCTCCTTGGTTTGTTTAATTCATCTTTGTGTCTGTACTGTCTTGCATGCCTATTGTAGTATCTTCTGAGTTCATATTTCTTGAATGACTGTGAGCATACTAGGAAAAGGAGAAAAAAGTTTTGTTTGTTTTCTTATAATCTGTTTATTTATTCTTCCCTGTCTTCTTTGTAATTATCAGTAGGCTTTACATTTGTTATGGACAATTTCTCTCATTCTATCCATTGTTATTTATGCCCCTTAGTCATTTGTGAAATTGTTGACGGCCTTCTGTTAACGATTTCAGTAAATTCATGATCCCTTACCCCTTAATGATCATAATCTTAAAATAACTTAATGATTTATTTTCTGATTTCAGTCTCTTTTTTTCAACCTTTTTTTTTTAAACCTATTAAGGTTCTCCACTAATAGAACCAGAGGTTTGAGACACTCCTAAACAAAAGCATTGATTACCAGAAGCCACCATGAGTTATATTAAGTCATATTGGATAAGCTCAATTTTTTTTTTTTTTTGGCGGTACGTGGGCCTCTCCCTGCTGTGGCCTCTCCCGTTGCGGAGCGCAGGCTCCAGACGCGCAGGCTCCTAGGCCGTGGCTCATGGGCCCAGCCGCTCTGTGGCATGTGGGATCTTCCCGGACCGGGGCACGAACCCGTGTCCCCTGCATCAGCAGGCGGACTCTCAACCACTGCGCCACCAGGGAAGCCCAAGCTCACTTTTTTTAAATGAAATATATGAACTGTTGATACATATTACAAACTGATAGGTTCCTCTCTCTCCCTCGCTCTCGCTCTCTTTCTGTCAAGCAATAATAATGGATGTATCAGTGGGCTCAAGCTGCCATAGCAAAATACCAAAGAATAGGTGGCTCAAACAAAATAAATTTATTTTGTCATAGTTTTGGAGGCCCAAAGTCCCAAGATCAAGGTGCCATCAGAGTTTTATTTAAAATAAATAAATTGTGTTATTTGTTTTAACTTTGGTAGTTTCATTGCATTTATATTCTGTTCTGATACCATCATTCATGTATACATTTAGTCTTTATTGTACATTACGTTGGATTCAATCCTTATCATCTTTTACCATTCATTTTTGAGTTTTTAAGTTTACTCCATTGTTTGATATGGTGGGTTTGTTTGACAAGTAATTTGTTCAAGAAGAATTCCTGGGTGTTTTATTTTTTGAATTCTTAAATGCTGAACATACTTTGCTGTATACTTAAACGCTTATCTTAGGCAGAGATTTTAAAAGTCACAAGACTTGGTAAGGGGTTTCTCCATTCTTCTCAGATTGAATGTGCTGTGGAGAAGTCTGAGGCCAGCCTGTAGATGTCTTGCTGCTTCTGAGTATTTGCCTGAAGGATTCTTTATCTCTGAACTTCAGTAACTTAACAGGGATATGTCACAATGTTGATCATTCAATATCAGTTTTGCTTTGAAGACGATGCATTGTTTCCAGGGGCAGATTTAGGTCACGTTTCATTTCATGGCAATTTTATTTTATTATATTTTACATTGTTTATCATACCCTTATGTTGAAACATTTTTTTTTTTGTTTTCTTTCATTGTATTTTTCTTCTGCATTTTCTTTGATTGTCTCAAACCTTTATATTTTAATCTGTGCCTTGCTGCTTGTTTCTTTAATATATTTGTATTTCTGTAAAACCTTAGGAGGACTCCATGCTAATCTTTGATTATTGTCAGGAAGGTACTAGATGTCACAATAGTAGGAGACCTTGTAGTTAATTGAATGTCTGAACTCAAAAGCTGCTGATTAGATTTAGTATTATCCTAGAAGATTTCCCTTAGAACCTTATCCTATGGAACATTTTTAACAGTAATTTGGATAAAGAGGTAGAGGACATAGTCATCAAAGTTTACAAATGATATGAAATTGAGAGAGGACTTAGATAGTAAACTTATTGGATGACAGAATTAGAACTGTATTTTTTAACTGGCCAAGATAAAATAGGGCGGTCCAAATAAAATAGGACGATATTTAGTGGAGGTACATAGAATATCTTTCTTGAGTTTAAAACATTGAAGAACGAAGGAGACATATCTTAGCTATATACAATGAAGGAAACTTTGGCACTTTAGATGATAGTGTTCTCAGATAGAGGTCAGCAGGGCAGAATAGATGTCCAAAAGCTAATGCAATCTTAAACTTATTGAATAGAATTCCAGCTTCTACACGTATGGAAGTGAGTCTTCCATTTCATCTTCGTTTTTCTAATCACAGCTATATCATGGTGGAGACTGGATTTTTTTAAAAAGGTAAATTAGAGCACATTTAGAGAACAACCATGCTATTGAGAGGCTACAAGTCTATGAGAAATAATTGAAGAAACTCATGATGATTAATATGGAGAAGGCAGGGAGCTCATAATAGCTGTCTTCAGATATTTGAGAACTCTAGGGTGGAATTGGAATGAGATTTATTCTCTGTCATTCCAAGAAAAAAAGAACTAGTGAGTTGAGTTAATATTAGGAACTGTCAAGAACTATAGAAAGATGAACAAACCTCCCTGGGAAGCAAGTTTCCTGTCCTGAAGCTGTATCAGTACAGCCTGGAATGTCATTTGTTTGGGATATTTTGATTGAGAAGGTTCAAACATTAGATTTTCTTTTATATGAATATATATGATATGTATAATATAATTTATCCATTATATATTTAGAGATAGATAGATAGGTAGGTGGATACTCTGAATTGTGTCTTCTAGTAATTACAAAAGATTTCCCTGTCTTAGAGGTTGTTTCAACTATTTTTATGAACCTTACTGTTTAGTATAGCAGGTTGTTTTCTTTCAGAATGCTTTTTAAATCATCTCATTATAAATGTTTGGTTTTATTATATGTTGTACCACTGCAATTGAGGAATATTAATTTTTGAAATTTTGTAATAAATACAGTGTAATATTCTGCCATTAGAATTGAAATGTTAATTCTTTGTTATTCACACTTCTCTCAAAGAAAAACATTCAAGAATCAACTGCACAGCTGATAACACTGCATGAAATGTTAGAGGTAAGTGTTTTGTGTAGTTGTTTTGTCTTGAAGATATCTCTTTATTAGTGATTTGTGAACAATTATACATAGGCTTGAAAAAGAAAATAATGATGCTTTAGTTCTTAAGGTATACACCAAACTTTATTATATATATTAATTTATCTTAGTATAAAATTAGTTTCTATTTTCTATGTAGTAAGAAAGAATATTATTTTTTAGAAGAAGATGAAACTAAAGTCTTACTCTTAATCGTGTTCCCAATTATTACTTTAAGAAAATTTTTATGATGTTGTTTAGTATCTACACAGTAAAAGCCTATGCTGTTACATTGATGTAATCTTTAGTTGGCCAGTCTGTATTCTATATAAAATACACAATTGAGTTTAAGGATTCTTTCCACAAAGTTGCAGAACTTCATTCACAGATTTTCCTTAAATAACATCAGCTTCTTTTTTCATAATGTAAGGACTCATTACATCTTTTTCTGCCTGACATTTGCTTTTTATTTTATTTACAAATATCTCTGACCTTTAAAAAAAAAAGAAGTTTTTGAACTTCAGCCAAATTACCAACTATATTAAATACTTAAATCTTTATATGATGACCTATTGCAGATTGGGTGGAGAGGAAGGTAGTCTATGAAGAACTATTTAACAATTAATGTGGCTTTTTAAAGTCATTGGTAAGTTTAGAATAAAATGATTTCAGAAAACTTGTTTCACATTGTAATTTTATGCATTGGATGCTAAAGTCTCTATGTATCTAGCTAAATGGTTTTGGTGCCTCAGGATATCTTAATATAGAATATTATTACTTTGGAAAGCAAAATACAATTATTTTTTAGATTGTGATTTGAATCTTTTAACATATTCCTATTTACTCCAGTTTATACCGAAACTACTGTTTCTCGTGGATGACTTGACTTTTTTTTAGTAAAAGTTGTTATGACAGTTGTTAACTGGGAAATACATGTGTAATTTTTGAATAGTGAACTATGAGATACCACGTAAAACTTAGATTTAGAAACTATTTTTGTCTCCAAGCTTGTATTATCAATAATAAATGTAAACAGAATTTAAACTGCAGTTCAGTGAAGAATAAACCAATATACATGTTCATGTTAAAGTAGAATTTTTAGCATTTAATTATTTCTGGCATCTACTAGAACTTTGATTAATATAACTGAAGTTAGAAATGAAAAGAAAAATTTAAAATTATATTAAAAGAAGCAGTTGCTCTAAAATGGGAATAATATTTAATTATTTTATTATCATACCTAAAAGAAATGAGACCAAGAGCTTTTTTCTCCAGGATGTGGTTCTGAAGTAGCTAAAGTTAGGGAGTTCCCTGGTGGTCTGGTGGTTATGATTCCAAGCTTTCACTGCCCCAGCCCACATTCAATCCCTGGTTGAGGAACTGAGATCCCACAAGCCACATGTTGCAGCTAAAAAAAAAAAAAGAAAGAAATAGCTAAAGTTAATGGCAGATGAAATTATTTCAAGAATTCAGATGTAAAAAAAAAAAAAAATAAGAATTGAAATTTTGATATTATTATGAAATGTGATTGAGATGAGAGCTTTATAGTTTTAATTTTATTTCTGTGGTACTTTATATTTGTATAAATTGTGAAAGAGTAGCATTGGTGATTTCTCTTTCCCCCAAATATTAAGATATGTATGCTGTTTTTGAACTTTGTGAGTATTTAAGTTTTTTATTTTTATTTTTAAGAAATGGTTATAACCAATCTTGTAACATAAGCAAATTATTAATCCTAAGAGAAGTGAGAGAATTGTAAGTGCCTTTTAACTAGTTTTTAGGAATTTTAAAAGTTAAGGTGCAAAGATTCATTTTAAAGCTATTTGCATTCACTAATATGTTTTTTTTTTAAAAGAAAATCAACTATTTAAGTTAATACATAGAAATTATGATATAAACAATTATTCAAAGAGAAAAGACATTAACATTCTTTGGTAAGAAACTTCATTAATGTTTTATTATAGCTGTATCAATTTTTTTCCAAGTAAGGTATATTTTGAATGATTTTTTTTCTAGATTCTTTTAAATAGATTATTTGATGTTCCACATGACCCATATGTCAAAATTAGTGATTCTTTTTGGCCACCTTATATTGAGCTACTCCTGCGTAATGGAATTGCCTTGAGACATCCAGAAGATCCAACCCGAATAAGATTAGAAGCCTTCCATCAGTAAAAAGATGGTCTTTTTTTCACACGTACTTAAAGAATCTTGTCATTCAAGGATAATGGAAACACTGAGAATTACTTGGATAAGGAACATTATTTGCAAATCAAAGCACATAGTCCATCTTCCTTTTGTGCTTAAAATGACTCATGCTGCCATCCACTATTCATTTAAAAATGGTCCTTTCACAGTCAGTCATTGCTTTGGTATTTTCAACTGGGTGGACAAAAATGCAAGTGAAAAAAATTCTAGACTTAATTATTACAAAACTTTAAATATACCTTACTTCTGCAATATTCTTTGGAAAATTCGTTGTTAATTTATGGTATTGATAATGTAATATTTTTCTTTTAAAATTTATGACAGTTTCTTTTATGCATTTGATTTCCATTTGGTGCTTACATCCTTTAAATTTACAAATTGTAATGGAAAGGCCATTTAATTTACAGGAGGTTTAAAAATTGACTTAGTATCTTAATGTAGAAGGAAGCACAATTTAAAAGTATTTAGTAAATCTGTTCCATGTATAATGCCATATTTCTAGATTTGTTAAAAATTGGAATGTTAAAAAAACTAATGGATAAAGGTAGCATGAAAACTATATTTTAAAGTGTATTATATTACAAGTGATAATATATATTAAATCATTCTTGATTCTGTTAATTATTACTAACAATACTGTGTTCATAAAATTTCGTTAATCCTCTGTGACTTTTCTGTAAATAAAATTCTCATTTAAAAACCTCTAGCTTTTTTGGGGATGTGGCATATTTTAATAAACTAAATAGACTTTTTCATAGGTAGATAAATGATGATATTATAGAACTACATATAAGCTAGACTAGAGAATTCCAAATACTTTTTGTATCATTAGTTTTCTAAGACGACTTAGTGTATACTTTTATTTTTGAAAATGCTTTCTACTGCATTATAGTATACAAGTTTCTTGTTTACCTTAAATACTTCATCTTTTTTAAAGTAGGCAAAAACTATTCCAAGTAAAGCATGTTCCTTTTATAGAAAATACAAATACTGTTATATTTTAGAAAATGTGTAGGTTCTTTTATGGGAAGATTACATACAAAAGTACCTTCCTAGAATACTCTAGTTGGGAGTCAAAGGATTGAGCAACTTATTATTCCTCAAAGTTACTGGAAAAAGGAAAAATGGTGCTAGCAGTATAAGTCTGACAATAATTCTATCTGACAAGAGCAGATAAAATACTGTTGTCTGTGAACTTCTCTGTGTTGCAAATTACAGAAAGAAATAGATAAAGGCAATAAACAACTTGATGATTTATTTGGCAAGTCTTGATTTCACATTGGTTTGGATCTTTTTACTGTAGCATCTTGTGTAAAGTTTTAAAGAAAACTGTGAAGATTGCATCCTACTTTTTAATTTGTTAACCCAGCCTTCTAACATAGCATGATTTTTTTGCCCATTTTTCACCTCAATCATAAACAAAGTAAATTATAGCAGAATTAGTCTTGATTTGTACTCCATCTAAGCTTACAGCCCTTGAAGGTTTTTTTTGTGGCTTTGAGTATGCTGAAGAAAATGTTTCAAGTTCTGAGAACCTATATGTGGGGGCCATCACTACAGATCCCAGGAACATTGAGGGTAATAAAAGAATATTTTGAATAACTCTGTGCCCACAGATGTTATAACTTAGATGAAATGGACCAATTTCTGTGAAAGACACAATCTAATAAAACTCACACAAGGAAAAATAGCCACTTTGCATAAGCCTATATATTAAAGAAATGGAATTAATAAGCTTTCAAAACAGAAGATATCAGGCCCAGTGGTTTCACTGGTGAATTCGAGAAGAAAATGATGACAATTCTGTGTTCCAAAAAATAGAAACTAATTCATTCTATGAGGCCAGCATTATACTAATACCAAAACCAGACAAAAACATTACATTACCCTAATACCAAAACCAGACAAAGACATTGCAAGAAAGGAAAACTACAAACAGATACCTTTCATGAACATAGGTACAAACATCCTCAACAAAATAATCAAATTCAACAATGTAGTACAAAAAATTATGCATAACAGCCAAGTGGTATTTATTCCAAATATCCAAAACTGGTTCAGCATTCAAAGATCAATTAATGAAATCCAACATATCATCAGACTAAAATAGAAAAATCATATGACCATACCAATAGATTACAAAAAAGCTATATGACAAAATCAGATAACACATTCATGATGAAAACTCTCAGCAAGGTAGGAATAGAAAGGAACTTCCTTAGCTTGGTAAAGAACATCTACAATCTGATGCATTATTACTTATTCTTTAAAAAAAAAAATTCAGAAAACTTACAGCTAACATACTTAGTTGTGGGAAACTAGTTGCTTTCCCTCTAAGATCAGGAAGAAGGCAAGAATGTCTCCTCTCACCAGTGCTAGTCAGCATTGTACTGGAAGTTCCACCTAATGCAGCAAGACAAAAAAAACATCCCAAGAACCAACAAAAAATCTCTTGGAACTAAAGACCAATTATAGCAAGTTTGCAGGATACAAAGTTAGCATAGTAAAGTCATTTGTTACCTATATACCTGAAATTTGAAACATTATTACATTAACATCAAAAATATGTACAAGACTTATATGAGGAAACCTACCAAAGTTATAAAAGAAATCAAAGAAGATCTAAATAAATGGAAACATTCCACATTTATGGGTAGTGAAACTCCGTATTGTTAAAAGTCTCAATTCTTTTACAAATTGATTTATAGGTCTAATGTAATCCCAATCAAAATCCCAGCAAGTTACTTTGTGGAAATCAACAAATTGATTCTAAATTTATATGGAAGGACAAAAGACCCAGAATAGCTGCCATAATATTGAAGAAGAACAAAGTGGAAGGACTGACAGCAACCTTAAGACTCACTATAAAGCTATAGTAACCAATACTGTGAAATTGGTGAAAAATCAGACAATAGATCACTGGAACAGAATAGAGAGCTCAGAAGTAGACCCATACAAATATGGTCAGCTGATCTTTGACAAAGAGAAAAGGCAAGCAACCCAATGGAGAAAGCTTAGTCTTTTTCAACAAATGGTGGTAGAACAACTGTACATGTACTTGCAAAAAAAGAAAGAAAAACTTGTCACTGATAATACTGACATTATACCTTTAACAAAAATTAACTAAAAATGGATCATAGACCTAAATGTAAAATGCACAACTGTAAAACTTCTAGAAAATAACATAAGAGAAAATCTAGTCTGACCTTGAGTTTGGTGAAGACTTTTTAGATAAAACACCAAAAGCACAATCCATGAAAGAAAAAAATTGATAAGTTGGATTTTATTAAAATTAAAACATTATGCTCTGTTAAAGACACTGGTAGAATGAAAAAAATAAGCCACAGATTGGGAGAAAATGTACAAAACACATATCTGAAAAAGATAACACAGAACTCACCAAAATATACAAAGAACTCTTAAAACTCAACAGTGAGACAACAAACATCCCAATTAAAAAGAGGGGAAAATGTCTAAATTGACACCTCACCAAACAAGATAAACAGATGGCAAATAAGCAGGTGAAAAGATCTCCACATTGTCTGTCTTCAGGGAAATGCAAATTAAACAACAGTGAGATGCCACTACACACCTATCAAAATGACCAAAACTCAGAACATTAACAACATCAAATGCTGAGAATAATAATGGAGCAACAGGAACTCTCATTGATTGCTGGTGGGAATGCAAAATGATACAGTCACTTTGGAAAAAAAGTATATTCTAAGCATACTCTTACTATACAACCCACAAATTGTGCTTCTTGGTATTTACCCAAATGAGTTGAAAACTTATGTTCACACAAAATCCTGCACACCAATGTGTATAGCAGCCTTTTTCATAATTGCCGAAAATTGGAAGCAATCCAGATGTTCTTCAATAAGTGAATGGACAAATCATGGGACATCCATACGATGGTTTATTCAGACATGAAAAGAAATTGAGCTATCAAGCCATGAAAAAACAGGAAACATTAATACATATTCCTAAGTGAAAGAAGCCAATCTGAAAAGGCTACATACTATATGATTCCAGCTGTATGATATTCTGGAAAAGACAAAACTATGGAGACAGTTAAAAAATCAGTGGTTGCCAGAGGTTGTGGTTTTGGAGGATTTGTAGGGAGGAGGGCAGGGAAGGGTGGGATGAATAGGTGGAGTACAAGGGATTTTTAGGACAGTGAAACTATTCTTTATGATACTGTAATGGTGGATACATAACATTATGCATTTGTCAAAATCCATAGAACTACAATACAAAGAATGAATCTTAATGTAAACTATGGACTTTAGTTAATAATAATGTATCAGTATAAGTTCATCGGTTGAAACAAGTGTAACACAAATACAAGATGTTAATGATAGTGGAAACTATAGGCAAGGGGAAAGGGGGTATATGGGAACTAAGGAATTTTGGGAAAGAATTTTCTTACTGATTAAAAAAATTCTCAGGAAGAGATGGCTTCTCTTGTTCTGGTGAATGTTATTGGGTCTGCATGAAACATCTGGAACTCTTTAGCCATTCTGTAATCATTAGGAGAGCTGCCATGGACAAATCTGGCATATTTAGTATGGCAGAGTCTCAAAAAAGAGCAAATCGTAATGTTATTGAACTGGGGAATTAATTGACCCTAGAGCTGCCATACTGGGGAGCATGATTTACAAGATAATAAATTTTCCTTCTGGTTTAATCAATTGAGACAGGTTTTTCATGTTTCTTGAAACTGAAGGCATTCTATCTGGTAGCAACATTCCACCAAACCATTAAATGGAACTTTCACTCTCGCTGAAATTAATTTTATGGAACAGTCTGACAAAGACTTTAAAATGTGTATTTTGAGGTTGCTGGAAGAAATAAATGTCTTCCATTTAAAAAGGGCTAGTCATTGTAACACAAAAATAACAAATGAAACAACAGTTGGTTATGAAAAAGAATTAATTATAAATCCAATATCTGATTAAATATAATAATTTAAATACAAATTCTACAAGTAGGATAAACTCTTGACTGGATAAAGACTGAATTAATGAATTGAAAGATAATTTGAAGAATTCATCCAGAAAAATAAAGAGAAAAAAACTATGAAGCACAGACAAAAGAGAGAACAAATTGAGGCACTTCACCAACATAGAAGTTCCTGATGAAAAGAATAGCAGGAACGATAGATAAGCAATATTTGAATAGATGATAGCTAAAAATTTTTCTGTAGAGCAACCAAAAGCCTCAGAAAAACATGCACACTGAATACTGTGTAGGATAAATCACACCATCAAATGGTTTAGTGAAGCTGTAAAATATCAAGAAGAAAGAATTTTCAAAGATACTAAAGAGAAAAGATAGTTTACCAAGATGGAAATAGCAATTATATTGTTCACCTGCAAAAATAAATATTGGTGCTGAGGGAAAAGAAAGACCATCAGCCTAAAATTCCATAACCAGCTAAACTACTATTCAAGAATGAAGACAAAATAAATTTTCTGACAAATAAAAACTAAAAACCTTTCCCACAACTTACTCTTCCTGAAAGAACTGTTAGCAGACATACTTCTATAAGAAGAAAAATTAATCTAGGAGGAGGATGGGGCATAAACAGTCATGAACATGTCAATTTATTTAATGTCAATTATGAAAGGAAGACATTTAGAGAGAAAAAGTGTTTCTGGAAAAGATGTTGCGAAGATATCATACTTCAGAATATCTGGCTA